CTTATTCCACTGAGCCATCTCCCCAGCCTGACTCTAGAAACTATATGTGCACCCAGACCCAAGATGTTACATACTGCCAAAGGGGGTCTCTGTTCTGGGAAGTGCTGCCCCTTAACAGCTACTATTTCATTAAGTGTACCTTGTGTCCTAAAAGCCATCTCTCAGTCTCTCCTCTCGCCATTCTAGAAGACTGAATTAGCTGATCTTCTCTGAGCTCCCACCTTACTGCCCAAAGATGTTAATGCAGAGATTTTCTGATTTGCCCATAATGGGATGTAGTAGGAAATCTGGCCTTGCTCAAAGAAAGGTCTGGCCACCTTGTGTCTAATTCATAGGGAGTAACCATTGAAGACTTACTATTTCTCAAGCAATAGAGGGGTATTTTTGTACTCATGGTGGAGTATAGGGACTACACTGGATAGATGACTCATGAAGGTATTCTCTGACCTTCGATGTAAGACACCTAAAAAGACCTTTAGGTATATCTCACAGAGAATGTCCCTGGTTCAATTCCCAGTACGACCAAAAAAAAAAAAAATAAGACTGATATATCTTTTTGTTGTTGTTGTATTTTAGGGAAGGGTCTACAGGGTGTTCAGGGTCTCACTACTAGACCAGAATTGTAATGATCTGCCTGTTTACAGTCTCCCAAGAGCTGGGATTAAAGGCGCACACCACTATGCCCAGTCTCAATTGCCATCTCAGCATGCCCTGGGGGCAGGGCTGGCATGGCAGGCCAGGGGATCAAACCCCTGGCCCCTGAACCTGCTTGCAGGTGCTTTAATCCGCTGAATTATTTGGCCAGCCCAAGACTGATAAATTTGATAACCAAAAGTTCAAATAGTTGATATGTTTTTTGTCTTTTTAGAAAATGAGCTACAAAATAAAAATCCCCCCAAATATTCCATTTAAACTGTGGTTGGCATTGTCTTCTACTTCACTATGTTCAAATCAGGCCACTTTGAAAGTTAAATGCTGCCTCACTTAAGCATTTCAGTTTAATGCAGTTCTCATTACCAAAGACCACCCAACTTAGGATTTAGGTATCTAAGATGGATGTGGCCCCAAGAGGTTATGAGAGGGCAATTACATTAATGAATAATTGTGATTCATGTGTTTCTTTTTTGCAAATAAATCTAAAATTATTTATTTTCCTCTGAATAATTAAAGATATTTCACTAAAGTGGTGACAGAACGGGAAATGTGTTTGATCATTTAAAAAAATTAAGAATGTGTATAGCTCAGTTATATAGGGTGCTTGTGTTTAGATCTAACATGTTCCACAAAGTTTTGTGTTCCAAGGTGGACACATCTTCTGGAAGAGGACTGGATCATGGGGGCACTATTCTCATAATTACATTAATCCATGATCAGCATGCAAATGCCTGTGCTGGGCAGAGGTGGGGCCTGAACAAAAAAGGCACGTCTCTTGCTCCCTCCTCGCTTACTGCTCCCTGGCAGCCCTGGGCCATGCAGTCTCCCTCTGCCCAGATCCAGTCATGCTGTTTCTGCCTTGAAATCAGCCAACCACAAGTGGAAACCCTGAGCCAAAACTAACTCTTTGCCATGAAGTTAAACGTGTAGGGCATTTTGTCAGGGAAAGGAAAGGGATTAATACAGGAGTATTGAGTACTTAAATCTTTGAATACAGTATGCTGTCTACATCCAAAAAAGAATAAAAGAAAAAATATACCTATAAAAAGATTGCTATGACTATGTAAGTATGTATATTAAAATCTTCATTTGAAAATATTTGTAATTTGTATCTCAAAGACATTGATCAAAATTCAATTGAAATACCTGCTTACTACATGGGTTTTATCATAATCATTGACACTTTAGAACTTACCTTCCACATGCTATCTGGGTCACTCTACTTCCAATGAATTCAGTCACCAAGCGGGGTCTTAGTTCATTCTCTGTTGAATTGTGACCAAGCTGCCCATATTTTCCAGCACCAAAAGTGAACATAAGCCCGTCCTAAAGGAAGTGAACTTCTTATCAAATGCTACAAAAATGCCACACACAAGTCACTTTCACTGATGCCTCTGCATCAGTACCTAGGTAGCAAAAGTAGCAGGGAAGGAAAGCTCCCAGGTTACCAGGATGGCCTCACATGTGGAAGGGAGGACTCTCTCTTCTGGAAAACACTAACTCCCCACACAAAAGGTTCTCGAACAAGTACAAAGGGGACAGGGGCACACCCACCTGTGTGAGGAGAGCAGTGTGAGTACCACCACAAGCCAGAAACTCAACCTTCTGATTGTCTGGTATGTCAACAAGGACAGGACAATCTGTATCTGTGCAGAGAAAGAACAGCTCAAGTGACCAAAAAGAAAGGCTGAGTTTCACACCAGAGTCACCTAGACAGCTTCCTGTCAACCTAACAACAGTTTCCATCCCATTCTGACAACAAAGCTCAAAGTTGGCATACTTAGGCCCAAGTACCAGGGATAGAGGTGGGAGAGGAGAGGGAAGAGGTCAAAGGGTCAAACCTAAGGACCCCCAACCCATAAAAGGGTTGGGTAGAGCTCATGCTTTTCTTTCCCAACAGTTATCTTCAACTAGAATACATCTGATATTTCCAATTCCTGACTCATACTATCTTTTCTTTATGTATATCTTTCTCACACTTACATATTCAGCAAAATAGCTTAACCTTCCCCTTACTCTTATCTCTGAGTATCTGTCTAATACTGACTTAAGGATTATCTTACATAATTAGGTCAGACTGTGTCAGAAGATACAGTGTTTTACCAGTGACCCAAATTAAAGCATAATTATCATATCTACATAAAGCATCAGAGTCTGGTTCACAGGAGTAGCCTGTTAAGTTGCCCTATACCATGAGAAATTTTGCTATATGCCTTACAGAAATAACTCAAAATGGGAATCACATGTTTAATAAGATCAGGCTATGCTGAGTTCCTAAGCAGAATTTTCATACCCCTTTCTAATAACAAAGGCAACTCGGGGTAATTTCTTCTAAACTTTTCACTTTCAAGAAAAAGATAATCAAGCCTCTGGGCCAGGGAGATGGCTCAGTAGAATAAGCGCTTGCCTAGCAAGCGCAAGGGCCTGAGTTCAATCCCCAGTCTGCCTAAATAAATAAATAAATAAATGATAATCAAGCCTCTAAAAGAGTCAATGACAAGTGCTAGTCAGAAACTCAGCAGACTAAAGCACTCGCTTAGGCCAAGCCCAGCAGCTGGGGTTCGATCCCTGGAATGCCTTGATGATCTGGCCCTGCCTTTGGTACGTGCTGAGACTAGGCATGGTGGTGCACACCTGTAATCCCAATGCTTAGGAGGCTGAAAACAGGAGAATCACTACGAGTCCAATCTATGTAGCGAGACCCTGTAGATCGTGTACTAAATACATTAAAAAAAAAAAAAAAAGTCAGTGACAGGCAAGGACCTGAAATAAGTAAATTGCAGTGGGAAACAGATTCCAGGTGCTCTGATCCCTAATCCCTTTCCTATCTTACACAGACTAGAACCAGTCTCAATTATAAGAACAATGAACAGGGAAGTGAGGATCTGAACCATTTACAGGGAGGTTTACACTCCATTCACCTCAAATCTAACCAATACAATTGTAGACAATATGAATCTGAAAATATGATTCATACTCTTGGTGTGGCCCAGACCCAGCTGTCCACAATCATTTTTCCCCCATGAGTAGACATTTCCAGACATGGATAAGGCCATGCTGTGGGCTTCTCCTGCAGAAATCTGGATCAAGGGGACTCCTGCGAGGCTCTGCACAAGCTGTGGTATCGGGGTTGTGGGAAACCTTCCAACTCCGAGCTGTCCATGGACGTTCTGTCCCCAGGCAAACAGCTCACCACCTCAATGCAAGCAGAGAAAGTGCCGTCTTACTAAATTTCAAATGCAGTAAACATGATCACAAGATGTTGTGTATATGGCATGGTATAAATCACTAGTTCCTTATCTCTCATCTTGAGGGTACAATTAAGCTACCTGAATAGATGTCAATCTTTTTTGTGGGGAGAACCAGGGATTGAAGCCCTTGCACTTGCCAAAGAAGTGCTGATTACACTGAGCCATTTCCCTGGCCCCGATGTTAATCAGAAGCAAGAAACAGAAGTGGCAAATGAAAAGTAAGTTGAGTATTTTTTTTTAAATTGCTTACAGGAAAACACATATTGCCAAGAACAATGTGATAAATATGTTCAAAGGGTATGGGAGTATTCTGGAGGGGATTAACATGGTACAGTGTCCTATACTGTTTAAATTTTTGAAAGGTAAACATTCACAATATTTGTTGATCATTTCATGTTGGTAAACTCTTTAAGACAATTTCTTTTGTCTGTGTTGCAAGTCAGCATATTACTATGTAATTCTGGCTGGTCTTAAACTCACTACACAGTCCAGGCTTGCCTTGAACTTGTAGTGATCCTCCTGCCTCAAGCTCCTGAATTTTTAGTCCATCACATCTGGCTTAAGGCAATTTCTGTCAAAAATATTACAGTATTTCTTCAGCCACCTTACTTTCCAGATCTGACATAGTCTGACTTCTGTTTCTTTTGCAAAACCAAAATGACCAGGAAAGGCAAATGTTTGAACTGATTTAGGCCATTGAGGCAGCTAGGGAAATATACCTAAAGAGAATGTTAAGGATTGCTTCATAAAGAGGCAAGTACAATGAAAAAGTGTGTCTGAAGCAAGGGGAATATTTTGAGGGTGATTAATGCCCATGTGTCTTTCAATGTAGTAATTTTTTAAAAATTTAAACATTCATTCACTGTACGTTTGTTTTGTTTTGTGGAACCAGGGATTGAATTCAGGCCCTTGCGCTTGCCAGGCAAGTGCTTATTCTACTGAGTCATCTCCCTGGCCCTCATTCACTGTATTTGTGGGTCACATTCTGTGCAATATTTATTTTAAAATGTAATCCATAGGATAGGTCTATGAGTATCACAAACATTCTACATCGGAGGATATAAAATCTAGAACTTGTCTTGCCTCTTTACCTTTCTTATATCTAAAGATCCTGAACAAACAACTTAAAAATCCACTTGGGCCAGGCATGGTGGCATTCATTTGTAATCCCAGCTACTCAGGAGGCTGAGGAGGAAAGATTCCTTGGTTTAGAAGTTCAAGACCAACCTGGGCAACAGAGAGACCCTGTCACACATTTTAAGTCAGCTGTTTCTTCTATTAATTGAATAGAAAAGATATATTTTTAAAGAAGTTTTTAAATGTTATCTGATGGAGCTGCCAATATGCAACAGACTACAAAAATACATATTAAAAATTTAAGGATCTAGTGAGCACCTCTTTGTAAGATGCTGTGAAGGATTAGGTGGATGGAAGGAGTCTCTCCTTCAAATAGAATTATCAAGTCTCTACCATCCACCAGGAATAAAATTATCAGTATGATTAGCTTTTTTTATTTCTCCAACTTTTATACAGTATAGTGATTTGCCAGTAATGTCTATTTCTATGAGATGACATCTCATTATGTTGCCCAGGCTGACCTTTAACTTGTGATCTTCCTGCCTCAACCTCCTGAGTAGCTGGAGTTACAGGTATGAGCTTCTACAGCCAAAAGATTTCCAACAGCAAACCCCGGAAATCTCTTTCACGCTACATGCATGTACCACTAGACCCTTTAGACTTTATGAAGACAGCGTAGATATGTCTCATCTTCCTAATTTCCCTGGAAGATACTTAATATACACAATCTGTTCACAAATGGATAAAGCCAATGATCAAGATTTTCAGCCCAGGTTCATATTCCCATGCCTCAACAGAGCCTTCAGGGCAGGTCAAATGCTCGGTCATCATCTACTGCCCCCAATCTTGGTTTCTATTCAGTTTATCACATATTTTCATATATATTTTTAAAAATTCCCTCAATCACCCTTCTGTCTCTTCTTCTTCTTCTTCTTCTTCTTCTTCTTCTTCTTCTTCTTCTTCTTCTTCTTCTTCTTCTTCTTCTTCTTCTTCTTCTT